GTGTATTGAGCTTGGATTGGAGGTACTGTGAATGCCAAGCTAACACCGGCCTTGAATACCAGGACATTGTGCAGAGGGTAGGACCTCCTCAGTGGAGTGTGCAGTAACCACGGCTATGGAGGGGCAGTAAAGGCTTTAGGACATGAGGCGGGGCCGGTGTGTTTCAAGCAGTGGTTGAAGTGGTCTGCGCCTGCCTCGTTGGGTGTGGTAGAGCAGACAGGCTGAGGAACCCAAACGGATCCCTCTCTGGGAGGTGGAGAAGCCACCTACTGCCTCCGTGAGCCAGGCTTTGATCATCCGCTCCTGCTCCAGGAGACCATCGATGGACTGAGCTCCCAGCTGGAGGCCTTCCAGGCCAAGATGAAGAGGGTGGAGGAGTCCATCCTGAGCCGAGACTATAAGAAGCACATCCAGGTGGGTGGCAGGACACCTGGGGCCTTTCCTTCTGGAATCTCCAGGGAGGTCGAGGTCTGGGCCACAGGAAAGGCCAAGCCCTCTTCAAGGACAGAGATCAGACTTGACATTCTTCTCTTCACCAGGGACCGGAAGACACAGGGTCCCCGTGTCCCTGGGGCAGGGGAAGCAAGGCTCAGAGAGACGCATATGGGTTAGTAAAATGCTCGGGCTCTGGATTCAGGGAGAATTAGGTGCAAACGGCAAACCGACCACTTAGCACAGCAACTTAACCTGTCTGAGCCACGGTTTCCTCATCTGTGATGTCTCAAGGGATGTTATTGGGATAGAGTGAGCATGTGAAGCACTTACCGTGGGCCAAGAAAGGGAGGAGACTTCTGTAAGTCAGACCATGAGTTGGAGGCAGAGCGGGGAAGAGGGAGACAGCACCTGCCCTCTGCCTGCTGGTCTGATGAAGCCACTCATGTCCCTGCCTACGATCACGGGAGCCCCAGTCAGTTCTGGGAGCAGGAGCTGGAGAGCTTGCACTTCGTCATTGAGATGAAGAATGAACGTATTCATGAGCTAGACAAGCGGCTGATCCTCATGGAAACAGTGGTACGTGAAGAAAGTGGGAGCGGGGGTGTCCAGGGAGGTTACAGCCTCAGCCTCTGCTTTCTGAGCATTTCTTCAGTGGAGTGTGCAGAGGGTAGGACCCCCTTCAGTGGAGTGTGCAGAGGGTGGGACCCCCTCAGTGGAGTGTGCAGAGGGTAGGACCCCCTCAGTGGAGTGTGCAGAGGGTAGAACCCCCCTCAGTGGAGTGTGCAGAGGGTAGGACCCCCTCAGTGGAGTGTGCAGAGGGTAGGACCCCCTCAGTGGAGTGTGCAGAAGGTGGGCCCCCCTCAGTGGAGTGTGCAGAGGGTAGGCCCCCCTCAGTGGAGTGTGCAGAGGGTGGGCCCCCCTCAGTGGAGTGTGCAGAGGGTAGGACCTCCTCAGTGGAGTGTGCAGAGGGTGGGACCTCCTCAGTGGAGTGTGCAGAGGGTAGGCCCCCCTCAGTGGAGTGTGCAGAGGGTAGGCCCCCCCCTCCTCAGTGGAGTGTGCAGAGGGTAGACCCCCCTCCTCAGTGGAGTGTGCAGAGGGCGGGACCCAGATGAGGCCCCACCAGCTTTGACCTGCCACCCATGCTGAGACTGCTCTGTGGCCAGTCTGGGTCAAGCAGTGGCTCCTTGTCATCTGGGCCCTGCACTTTTCTTGGCCACTGGTGTTGCTGTCACATGGGTGACACCAGGGTGCAGCCTGGCTAATGAGGAGGGCCTGGCAGATGTCACGTGTCAGGCAGGGGCTGAGGAAGGCTGAAAACCAGACAGATATGGGAGGCCTGAGTGACCGGGGACAGGCCTGGGAGCAGAGGGTATTGAGGACACAGGCGGCTGTGTCTGCAGGAGAAGGGAGGTCTTGGAAACCGGGGGTTGGATCTGCATGAGATTACGTGGCTCTGGAAGAAGTCTCCCTGGCCTGTGCGTGCCACAACCTATATTTTAATCAGACATTTAATCTCAAATGTTCCCTATTCATTTTGTCCAACCATTTTTATGGCCTAGCAGAACAGGCACACTTCATTTTATTTCTATATAGTCTATCCCCTGATTTTTGGAGAACCAAGAACATCCTTTCTCTTCTGAAATGATGGCAATACTAGGTGGTGGTGGCCGTATCCTTTTTGTAACATTCTCATGTGGCCAAATGAAAAACGGGCCGCCCCCTGTGCCTCCTTAGCTTTATTTTTTTTAAAGGCATCTTCTTGCTCCATGAACTGTAACATTTGGTCTAGAGTGAGTCAGCGATTTTAGGGCCCACAGATAAGAGGGAGGTGACGGCACACAGTGTTTGGTGGCCATCTGAGCTCGTCCTGATTTGTTACAGAAAGAAAAAAACCTGATGCTGGAGGAGAAGATCACCACCCTCCAGCAGGAGAACGAGGACCTCCACGTCCGAGGCCGCAACCAGGCGGTTGTGTCCAGGTAGCTGTTCCCCGGCCTCCACTCCTCTACCCTTGTTGCCAAAACCTCCAGTGGCGAGTCTCAGAGAAGCCCAGGGAATGGGCTGACGGGTGGGCCCAGGCCTATCCGGGGAATGTGGCTCCTCCTTCCTTGGGAGCCAGTATCCCTGGGGACCAACTCTGCCTGGAAACCTAAATCAAAGGCCCTGATTAGTACCCGTTTGTCCCCACCCTGGCTGAGGGGGCTTCATGGGAAGCCCAATCTGAGACTAGCTCAGGAGGCCCAAAGAATGAATGAATGTACGTGAATGAATCAGATCTAAGGGCTTAGTAAATCAGAGCTGATATCATGTCAGACATAATTTGATGAATACATATCACCTATCCTCCTTATTACTCTAAGAGCTGGGTCCCCTTATTCTCATTCCCATTTTACAAATGAGGGAACTGAAATTTGACAAGAGTAAATAACTTGTCCAAGGAGACACAGCTAAGGGATGGGGCAGATTTGAACCCAGAGCTGTCTGCCCGTGAGGGCTCCTTGGTCAACAGATCAAGTCACCTCTTGCATGCGAGGGGGCCTGGTGGGGCGGTGGGGACCCTGGGGCAAGCGGGTGACCCATCTATGGAAGAGATCCTAGAGGAACGGGTTGGTCTCTGCAGCCACTGGAGACCCTGAGGGGCAACCCTGGCCTCTGTCTGCACCCACAGGCAGCTCTCGGAGGACCTGCTGCTCGCCCAGGAGGCCCTGGAGAAGGAGTCGCAGCTGAGGCGACAGCTGCAGCAGGAGAAGGAGGAGCTGCTGTACCGGGTCCTCGGGGCTGACGTCTCCCCCGCCTTCCCCCTGGCCTCCGTCACGCCCACTGAGGTCTCCTTCCTGGCCACATAGGCTCAGAGCCTGGCCACCATGCCGCCTGTGTCACCGCTCCCTCTGCAGGACCTTCAGAGGAGACGGCAGGAGCCTCTCGTTCTGTCCCCAGGAGGGACGAGGGCAGGAGAGAGATGGGAGCCAGGGTGTGTGCCCGGTGAGCCGCGGGGCTCGGGCCACGTAGACTCACCCATGGGCGTTAGAGGCCCCAGGAAGCCTTCCCTCAAGTTGGCCCAGGGAACAAGCAAGAGGAGCCCTTCCGCCCCTCCCCCCCACTCTCTGTTCAAATCAGGGAGTTTTGAGGCTTTTCCCAGGGGGAGCCTGTGCTGCTTTGAGCATCGGACAAAGAGGACACAACCTCCTGATCTTAACTTGTCAGCTTTGCTGCCAGCTCATCAACCTACCCCTAGATGTCCGCACTTCTGCCCTGGCCTTCTCTCAGCCTCAGTTTACCGCTCCTCTAAAGCGGATGGGGGAACTGAGCAAATGACTCTTACGTCAGACAGTGTCCCATTCTAGGATTGTCTGAAGATCAGATAGGGACTTCGGGACAGGGGAGGAAGTGGGCCAAACCCTATGATTCACCTGGGAAAGGGAGCATCTGGGAGGGGGTCAATGGAGGCCCTTGGGGCTGGCAGTGCCAGGGGCCACCCAGCCAAGGCAGGGTCTGGGCAGGGCATCGGACATGCCACTGCTCCTGCTCCCAGAGTCTGGTAAGCCAGGGCGTGTGGCCAGAGCTCCTCCTTGACCAGGCAAAGCTCACTCCTCAGCCCTCCGGGTCCTCAGTCTCAGTGCCACGTGGGCACAGGGCCCACCTGGTGCATCTGAATCACTCCACAGCCAATGCTGGAACCTCCTCTCTGTCCAGATGAGGAAACCTAGGTGGGGAGTGGGGCTCACAGAGCCAGGACAGGGGCCTCATCTGCCATTCAGGTCTCATCGTGTGCTTTTTCTTTCTCCCCAGGCTCTGGGAAGATCAAGTCTGTGACAGTCTCTCCTCCTCCCTCTCTCTGGCCCCCACTCACTCCAGTCTCTTTTACTCCTGCTCGCACCTTAACTCCTTCTACCACCCCTGACCCCAGGCCCCTAGCACCTGGCCCTCCGCTTCCCCACCAGTGCAAAGGGGTGGCTGGAGCAACTCACCCAGGCAGGCCAATCGGCCCTCCTATCTGTGGATTTAAGATTCTTCTCAGGAAGCTTCCGGTCAGCAGGAGGCTATAATAACAACCTTCCTTGCATAGAGCATTTTAATTAAATGCTTTTCAACACACCTCCCCCTCCGATCTGCATAAAATATTGAAGCAGGTTCTTACCTCTCTTCAACATCAAAGCAGACAGATCACAGGAGTCCAAGGGCCTTGCCTGAGGCCCCCAGCCCTGGGCCAGCTCGTAGGAAAAGTTAGTCCACTAGAACTAAGGTTTCCCCCCACGGTCCCAGCTGCCTTCTTCATTCATTTCTAGTTCTGGGGGTTCTGCAGGGCTAGGGGAGTCCAGCGGTGGGCAGACGGGTTATCCAGGAGCCTTGGGGCAGCTCTGGAGTGAGTTACACGCGGACTTCTTCACGTAACTTTCTCCAAAGCCTGCCTGGGAAAAGTGGTGGCCAAGTAATTTGAGCAACTCTAGGTTCAATCCGATGAAGCAGATCTGCCAGTTGCAGGCCTTCTCAGAACCTTTAATATGCTAACAGACATTTCAGAGTCCCAGGGAAGAAGCAAAGCATTTCCTAAACTTCTCTGGCTGCGTTCAGAGCGCTTCCAGCGGCTGCAGAATGCCCTTTGGAAAGCCTGTTTCTATGGGCGGGGCAGGGCTGGAAAGGGGGCAGGTTGTGGGGAGCACAGGGTTTCCCTGTGTAGCCTGTGGTGCCTGGAGAGATAAACTGTGGTCTTAGCCTCACCCTGGGGCAGACAAGCTATGGAAACCAAATAGAAACACAATAGTATTCTCTTGGCCTCTGTGTTTTCCTGGGAGAGGGAAGAGGTGGATCCTGCTGATGACCTCTGCCAGGGGCAGACATCTGTGAGGAATAATCCTGGGGCCTGGGTGGCTCAGCAGGGTCTAGGCTTCCTCCCGGGGTGCTGGTGCCCCCCTGGCCCTGGCTTTGCCCAGCCCTGCACCTGGGGTTGGAATGGAGCTGGCTTTCAGAGCAGGTCAGGGCAGGGCGTGAGGCAGTGAACATGAAGTGAGGGGTGAAAGTAGAGATGGGAGAGTGTAAGGGGTGAAGGCTAAGGTTCTTTCTCCCCAAGGGGGGCACCTCCTTGGCATATAAAACACCAAAGTTCACACAATTACCTACCCCTGCTTCTGCCCACTGCTCATATGCAGATGCCTGCAGTCAGGGAGGGACTAGGAAGGGGCAGGGGAGACTCAAGGGCTCCGGGTCACATGGACACGGGTGGTGGCCATCCCAGTGCCCTGAAGGTTGGTGGCCCGGCAGGTGTAGACGCCAGCGTCCCCAGCCCGGGCCTCTTCCACATACAGGGTGCTCCCTGCCTCCTGCTGAGCCTGGCCCTCCTTGTGGACCACGTCAGCCCACTCGCTGACATAGGGGGGTCGGCCCATCTGTAGGGAAGAGATAACCATCTGTCAGCTTCTCCCAGTGCCATCTCTCACTCCGGCCCCAGCAGGTAAGAGGTACCACGTATCCTTCCGGGGAAGGGGAAGTGACTTGCCCAAGACCACAGCTCAGTGTCAGAGCCCCCGAAAAGCCAGGTTTTTTTGTGGAAAATGCGAAGCTTGTCAAGTCCCTGGAGAGCAGCTGGGGTCTCCTCCCCACTCACGGACACGCAGCGGGTAACGGGCGGAGCAGCACCTCTCTGGGTGGATGGGTAGCACTCTGGTTCTGCGGGGATGTCAATGGCTACTCCCTCCCCGGAGAGGGGAAGTGGGGGACTCATTATCAAAATTGCCTGGGAAACACTGAGTCAAGCAAAGTTAAACTGGGGAGACGCAGACCACTGCGTCTGTCACGTGTGCAGGTGGGTTTTGAATCTCCAAAGTGGGTGATGGTTATAAGAGGCAGTGTTCTCCTAAGAACACTCTTTTTCGAGGAGAAAATGTTTGGGGAGATGCTGGCAGAGGGAAGCCATGGTCTCCCAACCATCTGCATGTCCTTTTTCTCTTATTGGGTCTCAGCTTCCACTTTTGACAAGTGGGAGAATGACACCCCGCCCCCTCCACCACACCCCCCCCCCACACACACACACACACTATATCTATGTCCTAAAACCTCTGGGGACAGGGCTCACCTTCAGCACATTTTTTTCTGGGTCCAGCCCTCCCTCCAAGTCAAATCCCAGCTCTTTCAGGAAGCCTTTAAATGTTCCTAAAGTGACATCTCCATCATGGCAGAGTGACAAGACTCCTTTGTTTCTCCCCTTGAATTTACAACGAGTTGGGTATGTGTAACTCAGAGGATCCCTAGCTCAACACACAAACAGCCTGAAAGATCCACGCATTGGGGCATCTGAAGGTGGGCGCATTGGAATGAGAAGGGGAGAGGGAAGAGGGAAGGACAGGGATGGTGGCAACAGATGTGGTTTGCTCCCCACTGCAACTCCAGCAAGCAAGGTCCTGGTGAAAAAGTGGAGCTGCAGCCCCCACAGTAGGGCCTGGAGTGTAAGAGGGGCAGATGTGAGATCATGAACTTGCCTTTCTGCCCTACCCATCTCAGCAGAGCCCAGTAGAGGCCGTGAGATGCCTCCAAAAACACAGCAGGGTCAGTGGCCACTAGTGTGTGTGTTGGGGGGGGGGAGTGGCTCTGGGAGCTCATGAAAGCCGTTCTCCACCACCCACCACATCCCTCACTTCAATGGTCATGTCATGTAACAGAGGCGAGCTGGTCACAGAGGGGAATCCCAGTGGGTTTGCAGTGTTTTCCTCAACCTTAATGATGCTACTCCACCACTAGCCCAGAGGTGCTAATGGTGCAGGTAAGAGAACACAAAAACTGGTGCTATGCCACCATCTACAGGGAAACAAAAGAAAGTACCTACCTATTAACGTGCTGAAGTGAGAGCAGAACAGTATCTAAACAAGCGTTCACTGCCTCAGATGTGCAGACAGAGAAGCAATCCATCAAATACCATGAACAACCAAGGTAACATGCACAGAAAGAAAATGAAAAGTCTCCAAATTCAAAGTCATGGAAGACTGTGACTTAAATGACAGAGAATTCAAGATTGTAGTGACAAGGAAACTCAATGGTATACAAGAAAACTCAGAAAGGCAGTTGTATGAGCTCAGGAATAAAATCAATAAAAAGGAGTACTTTACCAAACAGATTGAAACTACAAAAAAGAACCAAACAGAAATTCTGGAGTTGAATAACTCAATAAATGAGATGTGCAATGTATTGGAGAGCATTGGAAATAGAGCAGATCAGATGGAAGAGAGAATTAGTAAGCTTGAAGATAGAATCTAGGAATAACCCAGGAGGAAGAAGAGAGGGTTTTTGTTTTTTTAAATGAAAGCACCCTATAAGAACTGATCACATTAGGAAGAGCAACCCAAGGATAATACATGTAATAGAAGAAAGAGAAGCCTGTTCAATAAAATAATTGATGAGAACTTCCCAACCTATGGAAAGAACTAGAATTTAAAATTGAGAGAGCTAATTGAACATATAATTATACCAACACAAAAAGATCTTCTCTAAGACACATTGTATTTAAATTGTCAAAAATGAGTGACAAAAGAATTCTCAAGGCAGCCAGGGAATCTATAATAATAAAAGCATAATATGCTAATTAGACTGGACATCCTTCCGGATGAAGCCCGGATGAAGCCAGGGCTGCGAGGGAAGCCCGGGTCCCAGGTGCCAGAGGGAAGCCAGTGCCAGCAGCCGGGGGAAGGAAAGCCTACTCTTGCACGAATTTTGTGCATCGGGCCTCTAGTAAGACTATAACCTACAATGGAAACCCCATTTGATTATCATGCAATTTTATCAAGAGAAGCATTACAAGACAGGAGGGAATGGAAGGAAATATTGAAAATAGTGAAAGATGGGAACCATCAGCCAAGGATTTTATCCTTTAGATATGAAGGAGAAATTAAAGCTTTCCCAGGCAAAGAAATGTTAAAAGGAGCCCCTCTATCAGAAACAAAAACACGAAAGTATACAAAACAGACAGAAGCAAGACACGGCTCAACTCCCATTTTTAAGTGATTTGGGCTGGTTGGGCCTCAGCTTGAATGTCACCTCAGAGAAGACATCCTGACCGCTCTATCTTAAATACACCTGGTCACCTTCCCATTTCATCCTTGATGTAGCTCCTAGTGTTCTCCAGATGATGGCGTTTGTTCACTGCCCCTTCCCGTTTAAACTGTGAGCTCACAGAGAGCAGAAGCCCTCTCTTATTGGCTCAGCATCATAGTCACAGTACCCAGTACAGTGTCTGGCTTGTGGTGGGTGCTCAATAATTATTGTTGGATAAATTAACAAAGGAGCACATTATACATTTTTATACATTAACCTGAGAAGTAGCTCTATTTGACAGATGAGGACACACAGGCCCAGAAAGGGGAAGTGACTTGCCCAAGGTCACTCAAATTAGTAGTGTCAGAGTTGGGACTAGAATCCCTGTTCACCAGATTCCTAGTCAAGCAGGGGTTCCACTCTGCTGTGATCGCTCCTGGCCCTCATCCTAACCCTTCACTCCCACACTCCTGCCTCAACACACCACCACCACCACATACACACATATTTTCATCCTCTGCTTACCTTCTGCCCCGGATATTCCCAACGGAAGTCCACAGCAATCTCTGGCTCACTCAGAACCGTGCAGGCCACACTGAAGTTCTCTCCCAGGAGGACCGATGTTGTTGAAGCTTGGATGGTGGGTTTGGGGGACGATGATGGGTCTGCCATGGAGAAGATGGGAGAAATGGGGACAAACATGTTGAATTGATTGTTGCAATGATTGAATGGATGGGTGAAATGGTTAAATTGATAGAGGATGAATGGTTGAGGTGGTTGAGTTGATAGAGGATGTGTGAATGGTTGTAATGAATTGATAGAGGATGAGTAGGTGATGGAACAGTTAATCTGATGGACGATGGGTGAATGGAATGGTTGATTGAAGGGAGGATGGATGAATGGAATAATGTGACTTGATTAAGAATAAGTGGGTAGACAGAAAGGCTGAACGGATGCAGGCTAGCTCAATAGCTGATTGCCTGGCTATTTCTGGACAAGATGGTTGAATACACGGAGTGTTGTGAAAAGGTGGTTGGTGGTTTAGAGCTAATCCACAGATTCCAAACCTGAGGTTCCCAAAGGAGGCATCCCTCCCATATCCTCCCCTGCCATGCCCTGCCCTGCCCTGCCCTGCCCACCCAGAGACCTAGGCTCACGCACAGTTGATGTAGATCAGCATGTACTTGGTAGAGATTTGTCTCATGCCTCGTAGGCTGGCCAAGCAGAAGAGGGAGCCAGCCAAGGAAGCTCGGGGCCGGTGGATGGTGAAGCCCTTCTTCACATCAAAGGAGATGTCCGTACCATCCACTGGGACCTCCTCTGGGGGGAACTCTCGATGCAGCGTCACCTGGGCCAGGGGGTTGGTCACCTGGCAGGGAAGCAGGACTGGTTGATGACTGCGTAACTGTATCACCTCATAATAATTGTCTGTGGGGACAAAGAGTTCTTCTGGGTCTGGGAAGGAAGGAGGGAGAGAGAAGAATGAGCTTAGGACAGATGTATTGTTTCCTGATGCTCTACCATCACTCATGAGCATAAGTCCCTTGAGAGGATTTGAAATCCCACTTTCCCTGCCCTTCTCTATTCTCCATGTTCTTTCCTCACTGGTAAGGGGTTCTGGACTGGGAGCTGAAGACCAGCCTGCTGGTTCAAGCTTTTGTCATTAGCTGATTGTGCATCTTAAATCCCTCTCTGGTCTTTAGTGTTTTCATTTGTTCAATGTGGGGTTCAGATGGCTTGGTCTCTAAGGGTCCTTCTATATGGAAAGTATTACAGGAAGTACTGAACTTGCAGTTAGGTTTCTGGTTGGATTCCCAGTCCTGCCACCCTCTCACTGTGGGATCTTAAGCAAATCACTTTCTTCCTCTGAGCCTTGGTTCTTCTTACATGTCAAGTAGGAGCAATTATGGCCTACTTTGCAGAGCTGATAAGAAGCAAATGGGATACTGGCTATGAGGCACCGGGCCTGTGAGAGGCACACATTCATCAAACTCTTTCAAGGTACCTTTAGCAACATAGCCTCAGGCCAGATTCTTGGGTGCACAATGGTTCAATGAGTAGGAATTAACTGGGGACCAGCTTTCTAGAGCAGTGCTGTCCAATAGAACTTTCCGTCAAGATGGAAATGTTCTGCATCCGTGCTGTCATATGTCACCACTAGCCATGGGCATTTCAAATGTAGCTCGTGCAACTGAGGAGCTGAACTTTAAACTTTATTTCATGTTCATTAATTTAGATTTAAATAGCCACATCGATTTAGTGGCATCTGTACTGGATGAAACCGCTCTAGGGTGAGGCAAATGCAATGGTTAACTTTGGCTGGACATCAGAATCACCTGAAGTGATTATAAATAACCAAGTCCTGGGCACCACCCCCAGACCAAGTAAATCAGCACCTTGCTGGGGGCGGGGGAGAGAATCGGGTGGTTTAAAGTTCCACAGGTGACCCTAGTGGGCAACCAGACTTGGGGAGCACTGACTGCTGGTTCCCAAATCTTCCCAATGTTGGCATTCCAGGGCTCCAGGCTTCATCCAGCCTTAATGGGCATGGCGCCCAGAAACCTGTGTTTTTTAAGGTGTTTCCGGGTGACACGAGTCAGGGTCAAGGACCTCTGGGTTGGGTATCATTACTGCTACGGTTGGATTTGAGTAAGGGAAACTCAGTGGATTCTAGGGGCGTCATCTGTTTCCTTGGTGGGACAAAGTAGGGCTCCTCAGTTCTCCTTGGAATTAGCCATGGGACCCCAGACGGTTACAGGTAGGATCTTGGAGACCACTCGCGCACTCCCTCACTGTGCAGGTGGGACGAAGGGGAAAGACTTAGACAGTTATGTTTGGAGGGTTTTCTGGGACCGCGGTGCTTGGAGACCCTGCTCCAGGGCACCTGTGACGAAGATGAAGGTCTTCCCCTGGCGGTCCTCGCCCTCCGTGCAGGCGGCATCCTGGCAGTCTCGAGCCCAGCAGCTGTACTCCCCGGTGTCCGCGCCCGTGGAGTTCACCAGCTGTAACCGGCTGTGCTGGCTGAAGTGCTTGATTCTGAAAGACCGTCGGTGGGGGCAGGAGAGGGGGTGGCTTGGGACACTTAGTGGCAGCATTGGGTTGGTTGACAGTCCTCCTCCCCAACTTTCATCACTCAAAGCCAGCTCCCCTTCCCCAGTGGAGCTGGCCGGGTTTGTATTGGCCCCACCCACCGTTTCTGATTGGCTCGCCTATCCCACACGCAACTTCTCATTGGATCATCTATTCCCCGCTGACCATGCCCACTCAGGGCAAGCGGGATCCCCCAAACACCTCTGCGCTCCTTGGCTTTCCTCTGGCCCTTGGTTCAGGGCAGCAATTGCCCTCTAAGCGCCTCCACCTGCTAAAGGAGGCAGAGTCCCCGGAGATCTCATGTTAGGAAACTAAACTGAGAAACAGCAGGCAAACCTTCTGAACCCAGGACTATATCCCAGCCTCCGCCTGGTTTTCTTCTGGACTGGAGTGGGCAGTGCTGGTGGGGCCAACTTTGTCTCTCTTTCTGGCTTCCCGACGCGGTGCCCCTGACAGAAGGGTGGCCACCAGCTGGACTGTCGGCCTCTTTTGCTTTGCCTCTGCCACCTTCCTCCCTACGGGCCCTATTTGCTGCCCCCAGAACTGACTTCCCAGAATTGTGGGAAGGCACGTGTCCATTCTGTGAAGCCACTCTGCCTCTGATGGGTCTTGCGAGCCCACCTTACTGTCTCCTTTAGGTGCCTGCAGTTGTACAGAATGGGATGCCCAGTGTGGGTCCATCTTAATCCCTATGAAAACGGTGTAAGTGCTTATAAGCCGCTGCCCAGCTTCCTCCCAGCCACCCTGGACCCATTCAGGCTGTGGCAGGAGTTCCTCCTCCCCATACCTGAGGCGGCCCTCACCCTCCTCTTCCAGGTACACGGGCACCCTCCAGCGGACCACCTTTCCCCGGCAGCGCAGCTCCGGGGCTCCCCAGCCCGCAGGCTCAGAGAGTCCCCCACCTTCTGGAAGTGGCCCCTCCCCAACACCCGGGTCAGGATGGAGGGGGCCGGGGCGCTGGGAGCTGCAGCCTCCACAGGAGTCTTCTTCTGCAGGGGCTGCTGTCTCCGCTCTGACTTGGGTTTTCTCCTGCCAGAGGCTCCTGAGGGCTTCACCCCCCCAGGGCTGGCTGCTTTGCCGTCCTTGTTCTGAGCCTTTGGAGCTCTGCCAGGCTCCTGGATTTCAGCTGCAGGAAGACAGGGTGGGTCTGGGGTCACTGGCCTTCACCATTCGCCTCCAGTTCTGTCCTTTCCTCACCCCAGGAGTTGACTGATCTCAGAGTTCTGTTAGGACCTTGTACACAAGTCATTGTCCCTCTTTAGGGGAAAAATATAAAATACAGACAAACCGAGAAAAATATTAAATTTGCCCCCAAACTTACCATCCAGAGATAAGCACCATGAATATTTGAAGCACGTTTCCCCAAGGCTATTTGAATGCAAGTATTTTAAACAACTACTTTGTTAAAGATAAAGTGGAATAATATAATACATATCTTTAATCTGAATTCTCACTTAGTGATATGTTTTGATTACTATTCCTTGGCAAACACAGGTACACCAACATTTTTTTAAATTTTTCTTTATTGATTTTGAGAGTGAGAGAGAGAAACATCCATGTGAGAGCAACATCTATCGGCTGCCTCCTGCACACCCCCTCCCAGAGATCGAGCCTGAAACTTGGGCATGTGCCTAACTGGGAATTGAACCAGCAACCTTCAGTGTATGGGATGGCACCCAAATCACTGAGCCACACCAGCCAGGGCTATACACCAACATTTTTAATGACTTGTATATGATTTCATGGTAGGGATTTCATGATTTATTTTTTCATTGTTGGGTATTTGGGTTTTTACATTTTTATCCAAAATAAGCAATTCTGCAGTAATCATCTTATATATACACCTTTAATCAGATTGCTTCTTGAGAATGAATTTTTTAGAAGTGAAACTGCTGGTGGGCTATGCAAGGGAACTTAACACATTTTCTTTTCCAACTTGCCACCAATATTTGAACGCCTTCTTAAGCATGCTCCAAAAGAGGTCGCTTAATCTGCACTTGGATCTGTCTAGTGATGGGGAGCTCAGTATTTAATAATACCAATAGCTACCGTTGATAGAGTCTACAGCATTTCTGGAACAGTACTAGCCCCTTTATATACATTTTTAAAAATATATTTTTTATTTTATTTTTTTTTTGCAGAGAGGAAGGGAGAGGGATAGAGAGTTACAAACATCGATGAGAGAGAAACATCGATCAGCTGCTTCCTGCACACCCCCTACTGGGGATGTGCCTGCAACCAAGGTATATGCCCTTGACCAGAATCGAACCTGGGACCCTTCAGTCCACAGGCCAACGCTCTATCCACTGAGCCAAACCAGTTAGGGCTATATACATTTTCTTATTCATTCTCTTAATGACTGCAAAGTACATATTATTCTCTGCGACACACTGGTGTCCTACAGTTTAAATCAATTCGGACACTATCTACTCAGAGAGGACCCCGCAGGTTAAGGGCTCAGTCCCACAAGCCTGGCCCTCCCCTCCCACTTAAGAGCTCAGTCTCAAGTCCCAGGTTGTCACCTGTGCTTCTGACTGACAGGCTATAAATAGGGGTCCCACACTCCTCTCCTGGGGTCCGATTTGCTAGAATGACTCATAGGACTCAGGCAAACATGTTTTCCAGTTGATTATAAAAAGAAATGAAAAAGGATACATATAACCACCCGGATGGGAGAGACGCACAGGGCCAGCTATGTGGGAGGAGCGCATGGCTTCCGTGGTCTCTTCAGGTGCACACGCTCCCAGCCCCTCCACCTGCTCAGTAGCCCAGAAGTTCTCCCACCCATGATCCTCTTGGGATATTTCTGGAGGCTTCCCAACACAGGTGCCATCCATCATTAACTCAATCTCCACCCCTCTCTGCTTCCCACAGGATGGGGGTGGGGCTGGCCGTTCCAAGCTTCTTTGGTCTTTCTGGTGGCCTGCCCCATCCTGAAACTATCCAGCCCTCCAAGAGTCACCTCATTAGGACAAAAGACCCTCCTATCACACAGGAAATTCCAGGAGAATCAGGAACTCTGAGTCAGGAATCGAGGCGGGTCAAAGACCAAGTATTAGAACAAAAGACGCTCCTGTGCTCTTATCACTGAGAAAACTTCAGGGGTTTTGGGAGCTCTGTGCCTGGCACTGGGGGCAAAGACCAAAATATAATTTTTCTATCATTTCACAACAAGGTAAAAGGGTCTCCCTGGTGTCCCTAATGGGGACATCTATCCTGGAGGCCATGCCCAGAAGGAAAGGGTGTTTCAATAATTTTAAGAAGTTCTGGTAGTTTGGGGGAGCTTTATTCTGAGTCCCTTACTTGGGAAGAGCACTTAACAACAGTTCACAGAGAATTCCTCCCCGACCCTCTACACACACACACACACACACACACACACACACACATCCTGGTTTAATGTTAGCCATAGGCCCCAAAGGCCACCCAGGGAGCATTTCTTACTCCTTTTTACAGGCTGAGAAACAAAGCCTCAGAGAGAACAGCTGGGCTCAACATAAGAACGAGGTGACCTAGAACACTGAAGTCTGGCATCTAAACGCAAAGATTCTCGGAGGCCATACCTAGGCCACTCCGGAGAAGGGATGGTGAGCCTGGACCGGCTGATGGAACACGGACTTCAGAGCCAGTGGTCTGGGCTCTCCATCTTGGTTCTGCTACAAACTATTTGTGTGGCCTTGGCCAAGTCACTTGATTTCCCTGAGCCACACTTTCTTCATTTAGAAAATGAGAACAAGAACGCCTGTCTTGCAGGACTAGGGTGTACCTCGTTTATGGCACTTCACTCTATTGTGCTTCCCAGATGTTGCATTTTCTTTACAACCTCACCAGCAAGAAGATTACCACTCACTGTATTGCTGTACTCGCTTTATTTATGGTGGTCTGTGCAATAACTCCAAGGTATGCCTGTATTACATATATTAAACCAGAATATATCTGGCTGAAGGCTGGGTTTGGGTGGCTCCCAGAGCTGGAGCTGTCCTGGCAGACCCGACAGGGCCCACCACAAGCCCTGATAACAGGGGGCTGCAAGCACATCCCAGGACTGAGGGCTGTGGGACCACGTTGGGAGGGGCCCTCTGGGATCCGACACACGATGTCTACAGCTTTGGAGCGTCTGGGCTTGCCAAGGCAACAGGTCACTTAGGCAAACTGCAGGAAGATGTCAAGTTTTATTTCAGCATCTGATGATGATGATAATAGTCATAACTAATTGTTGGGCCCCTAGGCACTGTGCCGAGTGCTCTCTGTGCGTTATCTTATCTAACACTCACAAGCCTGCAGAAGAGGAAACGAGGGTCCCATGGTTTGCCCAGGGATTCTATCTGATGCTACCACGTTGTATTATTCATCTTCCTGTGTCTAGGTCTCCGTTTTTGGATTTATAAAACAAAGAGGTTGGACTACACCAGAGGTTTTCAAGTTTAAGAGCAAACCAATCAATAGATAGAGTCTAGATAGCAGAATCCTCTCTTGGAATATTGAAAGGTCAATGATAGCCCTAGCTGGTTTGGCTCAGTGCGTAGAGCGTCGGCCTGCAGATTCAATTCCAGTCAAGAGCACATGACCGGTTGTGGGCTCGATCCCCATTAGGGAGCGTGCAGGAGACAGCCGATCAATGATTCTCTCTCATCATTGATGTTTCTATCTCTCTCTCCCTCTCCCTTCCTCTCTAAAATCAATATATATATTGAAGAAAAGAAAGGCCAACGATAAAGCATAATAATAGGGTTGTTCTGGTAGAAGGGGGTGGAGTTTGGAAACCCACCCATCCAGCTTTTCAACCACTGTTTCCCCCCTCTCTTTCCCACCCCAAGGCAGGCAGTGGGACAACAGAATGACTTCCTTAGAGCATAGCTTTATAAAACCTCGTCTACTAGTAGATGACTCTCAAGGAGCCTTCTCAGTGCCCTTGTTCTAAATGTCTGAGATCACCTCACCTCCAGAATCCCCCCTCCCCCCCAACCTCTCCTCCTTCAAATAACCCTCCAATATCGACCACCAACCCTTCGCTAACC